AAGCAGCACTAACACCTGGTATGTTCCATGATTTGAACATAAGGAAATGTCATTGAGAAGAAGAGTTTGAATTTTGTGTTTGTGGGGCATGAAAAATTTGGAGTTCCAAAGGGAAAAGTCAGAAGGAATTTTGAATCTGCAGGAAAAAAATTCCAGTCAGGGTTGAAAAGTAGGGATTGCAGTTGAGACCACAAGATTTTCACCACAATCGTCCTCCCAGCCTCCCTTGCACTGAGGTGTGGCCATGTGACTCGTGTCTCTGATAGTGTGTAGGCAGGAGTGATGGGTGCCACTTCTAAACGAAGGCTCTTAAGAAGCAGCTTGTTCCTCCTCCGTATTCTCTTCCCCTCTCCACCTTCTGAATATAGACAAAAACAAGGTCTTAGGGATTAATGGAGCCATATAAGAAGGAAGGAATGCAGGTCCCTTAATCACCACGTGGAGGGAGTGAGCGAGGCCAGGAACACCCATCTTGGACTGTTACATGAATGACAATCAAATGTCTATTGTTTATCCATTTGGGAGTTTATTTTCTTTTCACAGCAGTTGAATCCACTGCAATTAATAAATGGGTGTGGGTGTCCTGGCTGCCACACAGATCAACCAAACCTGACTGAGGGCTGGGGTCAGTGCCAGGAAGAGAAGATTTCCTGAGAGCTTCCTTTACTCCTCCCTCTCTGCATAGTTAACTGGCCCTGTCAAGAGCTCTCAGGAGCCACTTCTCAGGGAGCCTTCCCTGGCTTCAGCAGAGACAACCTCACTCCTGCAGGCACTCACAGCTCATCCCTAACATCCAGGCTGCTTTTTGCATCTGCCAGAGCAATCTTCTGATTAACATTTACACCCCCACTGGGTTTTAAATTATTCATTTGTCAAAGCTCATAGAACGATACACTTGTTTGTGCATTTTTTAGATGTAAATTTTTACTTTATCATTATCAAAAACAAATATTGAACCCTAGTTAAATGACATACACGCTGAATAAAGTGTACCAGTGTCTGCAACTTACTTTGAAATACATTTTAAAAATGGAGTGACAGATAGATGGGGACAGATAGGTGGCTCTGATATGTGATAAAAGCAAAACCTACCTAGATGTTAATTCTCAAATCTAGATACTGGGTATTATGGATGTTCATTGTATAATTCTTTCAACTTCTCTGCATTTAACATTTTTTCCATAATAAATGTTAGGGGGAAAATTCAATGAATGCCAGGACTGTGATAACGTTGCATAAAAAGACCCTCCCTGGTGGCACAATGAGTTAGAGCGCAGCACTGCAAGCTAGCCACAGCCACTTCAGTGAGGAGTTCAATCCCCAGCCCTGGAGGTGACCCACATGGCATGACAGACCTTTCCTGTCTCACCGACTGCTCCCCTCAGCAGTGGACTTATCGATTTGCCTTTCTGCTCCCCACTCTGTCTCTGGTGAGTCCTCTCACTGCCCCTGCACCTCTGGACTGTACCCCAGTTCTGTATGCATAAATAAATAAATCTTTAAAAATAAATAAATAAATTGCATAGGGAGAATTATTCTATGTGAATATTATATATTACTCATCATAATGTTCTGTGATGTTCTGCTTCTATTACTACTTGAAATTATATCATGGACATCTTTCTGATGATAAACAGATAAATAGATGAGAGAAGAGTGCCCATTCTGTTGAATGTTATCTAATTTTCAAACTGCTGGTGATCACTTGGGCTATTTTCGTTTTTTTTCTATTACTGACCATTTCCCATGATCGTCCACAGAGACCTTTTGTGCTGTTGGCTTTATGGGGTGCTGTGCCCGTTTAGAGCAACATCCAGATTGCACCTTCTTTTCCCTCACACCTTCCCCTGTTTGCACAGCACACTCCAGAAGCAACAGTAGGCAGTATGAAAGAATAAGAAACTCTCCATTCAAACTTCCTAGCATCGTTTTTAAAAAAGACTTGGATCATACCAATCACTGGCACAATAGGAAGTCCCAGGAGGTCAGCAATATTGGCACTGATTAAATATTTAATAGTTGTGGCAGCACTTTAGGGTGAGAGGAGACAAGTTTGTGATGCAGAGACTTGTGTTTGTGCGGTATCTCTCCTTCATCATGTACCCACTGTCCCTGATGGCCTACCAGGTCCACCTGTATCACTGAGCTGGACATTGATGCCAGTTATCATCCAACCACCACTGAGGTTCAATTCCTGAAAAGGGTAGTGGTTGGCAAAGCTTCGAGAAATCATAGAAAACAGAGTGAGGGATAGAACTATAAAAAGAAACACTAAACAAATCAATAAATGGTCCATTTAAATGCTCTGCAACAAAAGTTCTAGAAGGCTTCCATCTCCAGGCAAACACACTCACCTGTTCAGGAAACAAACAAGCCCTTCAGTCTGTTCTTTTTAAAGTTTGTGAAACAGAGCTCAATGGCCTTCACACTTAACTTTTCTCCCTTGTTTCATTTTCACAGGTCTCAGCAAAATGCCTATGTCACTCCTTAGTCGCGGTAGGAGTTAGTACAGCACCTAACAGCATGTTTTCTAGGCCAGATGGGATACAGTGAACTCGGGGGAAGGGAAGTGTGAACAGAGTAACCCCAAAGGTCCATCTTTTTTTCTTTGCAAGAGGGGAACAGCTGGGCTCCTCTGTTTACGAGGAGTGAACTGCACACCCCCCCGAGACTGTAAGAGGACACAGGAAAGCACCCAGGTACAAAACCACGACACGACAGTTTAAAGCCATGGCTGGCAAAACTAGAGTAATAAAGGATTACTATGTGTTTCAAAGGATCACAGAAATTTTTGTTATTCTAGTTTCCTTTCACTACACACTGTTGTTTTCATCTGTGATGGATCTGATGCCACACCCCCAGCCTGAAACAGAATCTCCATTATTACAAGGGTTTCCACGGAAACAGATGATCTACTCTCTCTCATGTTTTCAGGGTTCCCTAATGACCCATTCTCCCAGCTCTCCACCCACCCCCCAATTCCACCAAACCCTTTCCATAAGGCCTTCCAAATGCCCATCCCTCGAGCTTCTATTACTAAGGGATTCAAAAGGTACAGAATTATGTGTATACAATGGAAACTTTTGAGTTAACAAGCGTAAGAATAAAAATGCATATTTATATTTGCTGAATTAGCATAGAGAAGCTGCAAAGATGCAAATGAGGTGAGCGAAGTGTTTACTGATGGAGAGCAGCAGCAAGGAGGGACAGAATGGGATGGACCTGGACAGGAGCAAGACTTCTCAACATTTACCCTTTTGATATCATTTTAATCACGAACCACATGAGTACATTGCTTATATTAAAAATACAATTTTATTTTGTAAAACTCCCAACAGCCTCTGCTTATTAGAACCTGCTCTTCCTTTGGGCCACACACTTCCTTGTCACAAGGAGATGCCCATCTTTGGAATCTATTGCTAGTTCTAGCATCCAATGTCTTGACCTCACCCGTTTTATTTTATCCCTTGGCCTCTAAGCTCTTTCTTTCCACACAGGTTAGGACCCTCTTCCTGCCCTGACTTCCCTCTCAATTCCAGATGTCAGCTTGACTCACTTGTTCTGTTTCCTTGTATGAAGCACCTGCTTAGAAGCAGACTCCATTGGACCTGGGAAGAGGGATGCCTGCTGGTGAGAGCTCAATAAAGTGGAAGACAATGAGTAGCTTGAGCAGTCAGGGAAGGCTTCTCAGAGAGGGTGACATCTAGATTGAGATGGGAATTACAAGGAAGAGCCAATGTCACATAAGCTCTCAGGGAGAAAGGTTTGTATGTTTAAAAAATAAATCAAGAAGCTGCCACAGTGGTCCACGCACAGAGGATGATGGGGAAAGATGAAGCTGTCAAACAGAGAACAAGGGTTGGGTTACGAAGAGTGATGGAAGCCTAGGACATAGGCTAGAATTCACTCTGATGTCACGGGATATCACTGGAGGGTTCCGGCAGGGGAGTGTTTGACCTAGTATAAGTTTTTTAAAATAACAATGGTTGCCAAATGGAAATGTATTGACAGGTAACAAGAGAGGAGCCAGCAGGAACTTCTGCAACAGTCCCCTGGTAGAGGTGGATTAGACAAAGGCTGCGTGAGTGAAGATGTGGAGAAGTCAGTAAATCCTTGACATGCTTTGGGGAGAATCTGTCAGGATTCACCCATGGGTTATACATGACAGAGGAAGGGAGAGGGTGAGGAGAGAGCAGTGATAACTCCCAGATTCTTGGTGAAAGTTACAAAGACAGGGAAGAAATTTATATTTTTTTGCACACCTGAGTTCACTGTATGAGATTTATATGAGACATATTTGTGGCACACGAAGGAATTAAGAGACACCAAACAACACTAAACAAGGCAGGAATACTTATAACACAATCTCAACTTCAGTAAAGCAGCGTCTCCTGGTATCTATAAAAGCATTCAGGATCATGCTACGAGTCCCAGGGTCATCCTTCAACTGTGCTGCTGTTTGAAAGGAACCATTTCCACTCTTGGCTGCAAGCGTGATCTTTCCAAAAGGCAAATGTGTTTTACTTCTCTGCTTAAAAACTTTCCATGGCTCTCCACTGCAATGTGAATGAAATCCAAACTCCTCCACACAACTCACTGGGTTTTGCATAATCAGGCTTCTACCTAGCCCTGAAATCTATAACCTGCTATCTCCACCCTGTTCATGGCGCTTTGACCCCAACACCTTCTGGTGGTAAGTAGGAGAAACCAGGATCTTTCCCACCACAGGACCTTTGCACTTGCTGTGCTCTCTGGTAGCAATGCTCCTTCCCGGCTATTTGAATGCACAACCAGGTTTCTGCTCATCCATCTGGTCTTACCTTCTATGTCATCTCTTTGAGGACCCTCTAGATGGTACAGGGCACTGAGTTCTATGACTTTCCTTTTCATCAGGCACTGTCTCTACACTCCCTCACTGGAAGGTAAGCCCTCCTTCGACAGCAAACATGCTTGCCCTGTATGCTGATCTGGAGTGGCTGCCACACCAATCCATAGCGTACCTTGCCAAAGCTGCCTTTTCCCAGCACCATCAGGAAGTTGAAATCGGTCAGTTTCATCCGGTCCCTGTTTCCATTGTTGTCAAATTTGGATATGGTGTTGGTGGTCTTCTCTTCGGGAGCCTTGGTCCCCTGAGCAATCTTGGCCCGCTGGAGGGGAAGCACACAGGCAAAAATCATTAGGATTTGAGGACCCCCTTGTAGGAAGACACGCGGCCCCTGCAGGCTGTTCCCACACACGCATCCAAGTCTCGGAGCAAAGCGCAGCCACACATCCACTCTGCAGGCTCTGGGATGTCGAGGCGATCCTTGGGGCCTCCATTTCTGTGATGGCTCAGGTCTCATCCGTCACCAGGGACTGACATTTTTAACTCCCAGCTAATCCTAGAACCATCAACTTCATCCCATCTTCACCATCACGCCCTGTCACCCTCTTTCACCTGACAAGCCACCTTGGTTCCTGCCACACTGGGATTCACACAGCCAATGAGCTACCACTTCTTCACTAAGTCACCACCTGCTTGAAATGTTTCATTAGCAACCCAGTGATGCTGGAATAAAGACATCGGTGCTGTCACTGGTTGAGTCGGCCGGGTACCACCAGGCCCCGAGCCTCAGTTCTGGGGTCCTTCTTCCCTGCACTCCAGCTTCATCCCGCTTTTACCTCCTTGACCACTCAGGGCCTTTGCCTCTGTTGTGGCTGTCTGTAGATGGCTGTTCTTGCCCCTGTGCCAACCTAGTTATCCCCACTGGCACTTCCAAGAAACCATCCTTGATTTTCTCTCTGGCTTAGGGGGACCACAGCCCCTCCCTTCACTCACTTCCTTCCCATTTATATCAGATGACGACTGTTGACTTGTTTCCCTCAACAGACTGGAAACTCTGCGAGGGCACAGGATGAGTGTCATTTTCCAGTTTCCCTGACAACAAATATGGTTTCTGGATAAATGATTTATTGGGTAAAATGATGGATGAGACCCAGGTTTTATGCCCCTGCTATGGGGAAGGGGTCACCGCTGGGAGCAGACTGTTAACTCAGAGAGACAACAAACGCTTTGAATGAGGAGAGAAGGGGAGTCAGCAGTGAGGCCTGCAGCCTCTGGTGTACTGGATTTGCTTTTAGAAGCAAAACAACTGAGCTTAAAAATCCCCACTAGAACCCTGCCTTTGGCAGTTCATTTACCCAACACCCCACACCTTCCCTCTGGTCTCGGGGAAACAGCCAGAGGCCACAGATGACCCGAGTCCCCTGCATTCCTCTGATTTTACACCTTTCTCCTTGCTACCGTCATCCTGACCTTGTTGGTGTTCTCCGAAAGCACCAAACATGCTCCTGCCCCAGGACCTTTGCACTTGCCACAATGCCTGCCTGGGGTTCTCTTCCCTGGAGCTCCTTCAACCCCAATAAGAGAACTCCCCTCACCCCCAAAGCTGACATGAAAATCTCTCCACAACCTCTAGCCCCTTCACTTTCTCCACATCTCATATCATCTTTCAAATCTGGTATTTTTTCTTAATTTATTGTCTCTCTCCTGACATGAAAGCATAAGCTCCATGAAGGTATGGATTTTGTCTGTTTTTCTGGAATAGTGCCCAGCGCAGAGGAGGCACCTCCTTGAATTTGGTGAATGAATCTCTAAACTTTGGTTCCCTTTTCAAAAAATAGAGACAACCCTATGAGATAAAGCATCAGAGTTTTTAGCACCCACCCTTCCTGGTATATAGAGGATACTTAATGACTGTGACTATTAAGGATGTGCTTTTCCCCCCTTTTTATAAAGATTTATTTATGCATAAAAGAACTGGGGCACAGTCCAGAGGTATGGGGGTGAGAGGATTCACTAGAGACAGAGTGGGGAGCAGAACAGGTGGATCTACTGAAATCCACTGCTGAGGGGAGCAGCCGGGAGACAAGAGAGGTCTGCTGGGCCATGTGGGTCAGCTCCCTGGCTGGGGATCAAACTCAGTCTTCAGTGGCTGCAGATGGCCTCATAGTGCTGCAACTTAATTCCTTGCAGAAGGCCTCCCCTCTCCCCAAGCCCCCCCCCTTTTTTTCCTTTTTAAAATATTTATTTATTGATGCATACAGACCTGGGGTACAAGCCAGAGGTTCAGGGGCAGCAAGAGGACCCACAGAGACAGAGTGAGGAGCAGAACAGGCAGATGCACGGAAGTACACTGCTGAGGGGAGCAGCGGGCGGGTCAGGAGAGGGCCCAAGTGGGTCACCTCCGGGGCTCCCCACCTTTTTTTAAGACAAAGGCTACAAAGGTCTTCCCAGAGGTTTGACTATCTAGGAAGAGTCATTCATTCACTCATTCAAGACATACTAATTTAATGTCCTAAATGTTCAGGATTCAGGATGCAACAGGGAACAAAACAGACCCAGATACTCAAAGAACTTGCATCCTTGTGGAAGGGTTCTCCCCTCTGTGTTCAAAAGATATTTTAGAATTATCGGGTAGCAACACTGGTGTCAGCAGCAGAAGGAATTTACAGAACTGAAAACAAGGCCCATTGAGAGAACTGAAGGCTTGTTATTCCTTCAGCCTGCAGATGTGGCTGAAAGACAAGAGGGATCTTATACAATATTTGGAGAAGTTCGGGCTAATTCTGAGCATGAAAGGTCTCAGGGTGGGGTCCAGGAAGAATGGACCATGATAAGAAACTTCAAACTTTCTTTTCTTCTCCTACCCCACCCCATCCCTAAGGGCCAGAGACTAAGTTAATCATCAGATAAAGCCTAAAATGATGACATCTCCATAAAGATCCCTAAACAATGGGGTTTGGAGAGTTTCTGAGTGAGAGTATACATATACTTTGTGGGGGGTGGGGATGCACCCCAACAGAGCTTCTGTTCTTGGGACCCTTCCAGACCTCATCCTACACTAGCTCTTCATCTGGTTGTTCATTGGTATACTGAATCATATAACCACATAAAAAAAAAGTGTTTCTCTGAATTCTTGAAGCTATTATAGTAAGTTATCAAGTCTGAGGAGCAGGTCTGGGAGCCCCTGATCTGTAGTCAACGCCAGACAGTAACCCGGGAACCCCCTTAATAAGACTGATGCCTCAAATAGGGGGCAGTCTTGTGGGGTTGAGCCCTTGGCCTGTGGGGTCAGTGCTAAGTTCCAGTGGTTAGTGTAGGAACTGAACTTCATTCACTCGGCTGTCTCAGAGAACTGGAGAGTTTCGTGGAAAAGAAAACCCACACATTTGATGTCAGGTGTGAGAACGAAACAGCTTTCCTTTATAGAGTACGTACTTTTTTGCCTCTACTCATCACCATAATGCTCCTAAAATTTCACGCTTGCTGTTAATGAATCAGTAGTTTGCTCCTTTGTATTGTCGGCATGTGTACACTCTTGTGTTTATAGGAATTTGTGTTGTTTCCACTTTGGGGCTACTAACAGAGTTGATAGATCAAGTGATTTTGGAGTAAGATTACATTGGGGTTTAAGAGTCTCTGAAACCATCAAGTAGAAATACAGATTGACCTGGGGTTAAAAGGCAGCATCTGATCTGGAAGCAGAGACTGGCAGTCACAAGCAGAGGAGGGTAGTGGAAATATGAGACCATCATAAGGAAGAAGCGAGAAGAGATGTTGGATGGCCTTTGGAGAGGCGCATCCTCCCATCACCTCAAATGCTCATTCTCAGACCAAAGCATGGCCCAGGCTGTCTCAAGGCCATCACGCGCCTGCCCTCCCACCCCACTCTCCATTCTCCAACCCGTGAAGGTCCCTCCTGATTGTCCCTGGTCCTGGTCCCCACACCAGCCCACAGACTCTCTTACCCATCCACCTGTAGCTCCCAGCATGGTCACAGGCGAAGCAGGAGTGAGGAGCTCAAGGTTCCCAAAGTTTCCAGTTTACCTTGTGTAGAGAACATTATGTCCCCCTGAACAGCTAGATCTCTCCTCTGAAATCGTGGCCAAACCCTTTCCTCCACCTCCATCTCAATTTGCTTTTGCGACTTTCTCCATAGGAAAGTGCTACAGACTGAATGTCTGTATGTCTGTTGTATTCATTTACTACAGTGAAATGCTAGACTCCAGGGAGATGGTATTAGGAGGCAGACCTTTGGGGGGTTGGGTTAACAGTCATCAGGGGGAAGGCCTCATAAATGAGATGAACTCCCTTATAAAAGAAGTTCTCAGGAGCTCCTTCACTCCTTCTACCTCTTCCACCGTCTGAGGACATGGTGAGAAGATGCGTCTGTGAACCAGGAAGCGGGCTTTCACCAGACATCTGCCATCACCCTGATCTCGGGAATCCCAGCCAGCTCAACTGGGAGAAATAAATGTTTGTGGTTTAAGTCACCCAGCTACGGCATTTTTGTTATAGCTGCCTGAAGAGACCAATACAGACTATCTCAGCTCCCCGCCTATAGATCAGAAACCTAACAGCCAGACTGTCTGGTCTATACCCTGTTGTTGCTTTCAGATTTTAATTAGTTGACAACTGATGGAAATCAGGAGGTGTCTGACAAAGAACCAGGGTTCTAGTTTCTTTTCAAGAAACAGCACTGGCTACACGGGGCTTCATCCTGCTCTCGCCCTCCCCACACCCCCTGACACACCTGCGGTCTTCCACCAAGCTTGTTCCCCTTTCTTGCTATCTGACTCTCTCCTGCAAACACCTGGGGTTGTGACCCCCACACAGTGAGCCTTTGTAGGATAACAGCCCTATTCTATAACCCTGAATGCTGCATGATTTCCAGCAGCTTCATGCCTCGCAAATACACCATCAAAGAGCAAACATGTTTAAATTGAGCTCCAAATTAAAATGATCCTTTATCTCGCTGGCCTGGATATGCCTTCAGGAACAGAAGCACACTAATGGCTGCCTTTTCATGTCTACAATGTAGAGTCTAAGACCCAATGCTCAGAGAGAAAGCAAACAGAGTATACTTGGGAACAAAGAGCCGAGGCTCCTTCCAGAGGGCAGAGGGGTGAGCAAGACTCAGCAAACAGCCGGGCTCCTGGACTCCCTCTCAGATCCTAATGCCTCTCCTGGCTTAAGTCACAGTCTCCCTGCCCCTTCCCCATCAAGGAGCTCCACCAGGCACTCCCCAATCCAGCAGTGAAGACAGAGACCTCGCAAACTAGGAGTCCCCCAAGTCCTTCCCAACCATAAGTTGCCTTTCCAAGCCCAGCAGGAGTCTTCCTGCACTTTCGCCCTCCCCAGAGGGAGCTGATCATGAGAACAGCTAGGACACTTCAGGGCTGCGATGTGCCAGGCACTGGTTTAAACGCATGACCTCATTCAATCCTCACATAACCTTATGAGGTAAGAAGGGTTATAATTCCCCACTTTACACATGGGAACTCTCAAGCTCAGAGAGATACGGTGACTTGCTGACAGTGAGGAAGGGGCAGCCCTGGGGCTCAAACCCAGGGAGCCTGGCGCTCAACCACCTGAGCACAGATGTGGCCCAGGGGCCCCCAAGATACACTTTCTCTTCTCTGCATCTGGGGGTAATTGCTGCGAACCCCAGGCCTCTGCTGGTGCACAGTTGCAGAGTGCAGCCCACTAACCAGGCGAGATGAAGAGGAAGTTACTCCCTGGGAGCAGCCCTCCACCAGCCATGGAAAGGGAGCTGTGGGGGCGTCCCTGGTGGCCAAGGGGTTAAAGTGCAGCACTATGAAGCAGCCACAGCAATAAGAGTCTGATCCCCAGCCAGGGAGCTGACCCATATGGCACAGCAGACCTCTCCTGCCTGCCTGCTGCTCCCCTCAGCAGTGGATTTCAATGGATCTGCCTGTTCTGCTCCTCACTCTGTCTCTAATGAATCCTCTCAACACCCACCCCTCCCCGTACCTCTGGCCTGTACCCCAGTTCTCATCTGCATAAATAAATCTTTAAGGAAAAAAGAAAGAGAGAAGGAGAGAGAGAAGGAGGGAGAGAGGAACGAAGGGAGGAAGGGAGGGAGGTAGGGAGGGAGGAAGGAAGGAAGGGAGGGAGGTAGGGAGGGAGTTGGGGGAAATGCTTCTGCTTCCCAAGGCCTGGGCCCACCTGCCCACAGCCCTACCCGTCTGATGATACAAGCAGGATTTCCCTGCTTGCTTCCTGTCTCCCATCACTTTCTTGCCACTTGCATGTAGGAAGCTTCCGGGGATCATCTCCCTAAACTACTTGCACCTGAATCTGGGAGGCTCAACGCAAGGCAATGACCAGCAAGTTGCTGACCTCTCTGGGCCTCAGTTTCCTTACCTGTTCATGAACAACCCTACCATGCAGGCTTGTTGTGAAGACTGAATTAAATAAGGAATTATTTCTAAATATTTCTGAATAAGAAGAGGCACAGAGTAAGTGTTTTAGCAAATAAAAAAAAAAGTCTAGGGTAGTCAGAAAACCTATCCTGGACTATATTAAATGGAGTCTTTGGCCCCCTGGGCCATTGTCCAGCCCAGGAGCAGAAGAAAGCCCCAAACGGCCAAATCCGCCATCCTGAAAGCTACCGCGTGTGCTAACTCCAGCACGCTCACCCTACCATGAAATTCTATTACCCCAGTTCCAGCAGCTCGATTTTCCCGTCACTCAGAATTTCTCCAGATAAGAGGCTTGAAAGTAATTTCTGAGTCATTCTGGGTGCTAATTGGTTATTGCACAGGGATTACATATCTCACGTTCAAGGTCAACTGAAATTCCTCTGTGTCTGAGAACAATTTTCGGTCCGTTGGAAACATTTTTTTAATCAACAACTATGCTGTGGAGCGATTATAATTCAGGCATAAACAAACGTTTGCAGACTCCTGCTAGAAATAAAAGGACATGTTTTGTTTCATGCCGATAAAACAGTCCTTTACTTCAAGCCAATAACTGGCCCAGACAAATGCTCTGTTCATGTAGGAAATGTTTTCCTTGGTGTTCTGAAATGTCACCTCAGCCGCCCTAGCACAGAAGAAATCATTTTACAAAACTAAGGCTTCATTTTGTACAAGGAAATACTGATCTTGTTCTTCAACCACAACAGCACATTTTAACACAACAGCAAGTTGTGGGAAAAGATGGAGAGAATTCTCCAGAAGGTCTTCCTGGCCTAATGGACAGTGTCAGTTCTCAGCTCTACCCGGACATCCTTTTGCTGACTAGGGCCTGAACGGGCTCTGTGGGAATCACCTTCAGTTACATCTTCACCAGAGAATGACTGACAAGCCCAAAGTGGTTGTATTTATCCCACTGTGTCCAGGAAGGGACATTCCTCTGGGTCAGAACCATCCCCCAGTTCACATTTTGTTGAGGGCACAGTCTCAAGACATGGGTTGACACTCAAGAGCTATTTCTCTCAAGTTGACACAGAAATTGACGACTCTTAGGATGAATCCAAACCCTTGCCGAAGTCGGCACAGACTTCCTACTCTGACCACCCACTTCCCCGGCTTTGTCTTCAACTCAGCCTTGGCTCTCTCTGCTCTAGCCACACTGGACCGCTGACAGATTCCTGCCGCGGCTATCAAAGTGCACACCACAGGGCTGGCACATGTATTTCTGAGTGAAATGCTTTCTTCATTTAGTTAACTTTCATCGTCCTTTCCCTGGAGACAACTCTATCCTCTCAGACACCAGTGCATTTTCCTCTTCAGTCTGCTATGGAACTTTCCTTCACAGAACTTGGGGGGGTTGGGGGTGGGGGCACTTGTGATTTTTGATTTTTGATTTTTTTGATAAATAGCAATGATAATCATCTATTTCATTTTAGCTACTTTATCCTTTTTTTTTTTTTTTTTCAGAGTTAGCAGGCCATCATTGCTTACCTGGAATGGATGATTTCCCATCAAACCAAGTATATTGAGTTTGCATGAACAAAATGTGTTTTCCCTTATGAAACTACTTTAAAATCGCTCAGTACACATATAATGAAAGTACTCAAACCCATCTTCCCTGAAGCATTTTCTTTGAAAAAACTGGAATGTGTCCTATACTCTTATAGAGCTGAAAATGGGGTTTATTTGGCTCCACAGAAAGGGGCTTATTTGAGGTAGAAGCAGAGCTAGAATTATAGCCCAAGGTCAGAGCCAAGGGCCCTTACTTTTCAGAATATGCACGCGTAGATATTTCATGGAAACACCAGCACCATCAATTCCATTTGTTAAGATCACAGCACCATCCTACCACAGACCCAAATCCAGATTCTATCCTTCAGCGAGCCTATCCGACTCAGCCTCTAACACATGCCACTGTCTCCTTGATCACCACTGCTTCCATCCCAGTCCCAGCCATCATCCAAGTGACCTGGGCCATGAATGAACTTTCAAGAAAATGTCTAATTCTGAATGAGGATCGGAAGACATAAATGATTTCACAGGACAAGAGACACTGAATTGGGGTCTTGAAGGATAAATAGAAGTTTTCTGGGAGGCAGAACAATATTGCACACTCTTGAGAGGTCTCAGTAGAAGCCACACCAGAAACAGGGGAAAAAGCACAGAGCAGACTCAACTGGTTTCCATGGCGCTGGGGGGTGGGGGAGGGATTGGGGTGGAGACGGGAGGGAAGCAGACAGGGACACAGGCACACAGGCTCACCTCAAATTTCTGCCGCAGCTCCTCATTGCCCTCACTTCCTTCAGGTGGTACTGGCACGTTGAAGTACTCGCCTTCCTCCTGACTCAGCAACTTAAACCTGAAGGGAGACAAGAGGGCA